TTATAAATGGCCTGATGACATAAAAATAATCTTAAATACACTACTACTGGAAGAATGCATTGTAAACGAAGAGTTGCTGAAGAAATGGCGAAAGTTTTATTTCATAATCACATTTGACATACTAATTAGCTACATATTCAGAAGACGTTATTCGGAACGTTGGACGACGAGGACGGGGAAATGTAGAATACGTAAATAAGGGAACTCCAAAGTAGTAGAGTAGGCATGTTAAAATAGTGATAAATCAAACTAGTATATTAAAATTAACAAATAGTGTATTTAAGGATGCGCAGATAATGGACAACCCAATCCGAAACTTAAATATATCATTTAAGAATCTCGAAACTATCTTAAAACGCGTATGGTATCAACTAGATAAGTTAGAAATACGAGCCACAACAACAAATTTAATAACAACATTGTTACTGCTACTGCAGCAATTAGTATTCGAAACAGATATGGTAGGTGAGATAATATCGGCAGCGCAAAACGGTATAATACATTTAGGTATGATATCACTAGGAGAATTAAGAATTCAGCTGCGGGACATATTAATAAGTTTACCCGGGCAGTTGAAATTACCTTTTGATGTAAATTATATATCACTCTATGAATTAAGTAAGACGTCAAAACTGGCTATAGTATATATGAATGGAACTCTCGTCTTCGAGTTAGTAATTCCATTACTAAACCCAGTAGAATTAACACTATACCATATAATACCCTGCCGCGTTACGTAAAGAACAGCTATATATGCATCTCACACCCGAATTTGAATACATGGCCATTTCAAAAACACACGAGTACTATTTAACCTTTCCATAAACCATTTAATGAGCTGTAAGAATAATAAGCATGACACTATGTCCTGAGACACAACCCCTCAGGTTAGGAACAGCGGGGTTAAAATGTGAAATTAAATTATTCATGAAGCCAACGATAATTCCGAGAACCTGCGCAATAAAATACTTAGAATTATCACGTAGCATCTACCATAAATTGAAAAATCATAATAAATGCATTTATATAATAAACACGTTAGATGATGTAGCTGTCACCTGCGATCAATGGGATAACGCTAAGAATATACAACTAAGGGGCGTAGGTATAATAACATTAAGTGAACAATGCAGGGCGCATACACCACAAGTAGTCTTAACACCTAACAGGCACTTGAAGTTCGTTCAGTATAGCGATTTCATTCCACCAGTAAACATACCCACTAGTGTAAAAATTCCGTTACTACCCAGCGCTAAACTCGACAGTTTACTTATACACCAAAATCCAGTAGTCAAGCTAAACGATATTAGTGACTTTTCCAAACCTCGAGGAGTTGGAAAGCGAAGTCCAGGAGGAAAAAGATAAGAGTATATTTAAATCAACCAGTGGTATGCATACAAAAATAATTATAATATTATGTATAATATTAGGAATAATGATAGTTTATAGTTTATATAGTGTTTATAAAAACAAACAAAAATACCGTAGTCGTAGAATAGTAATTCCTAGAGTAGAAGTAACTACATAATAAAATATTTAATAGGGAAAAATATGAGCACGGCACGAGACCTAGTTAAGTTTATGGACCATCTCCGATATACATTACACGAGGACGAACATACCACACAATTACGTGAGGGTAGTCAAACGCCGGTCTGCCTGCTAAAGCATTTGGCGAGAGCCAATCGGAGAAGAAGCGGGTTTCTTTAATCAGACAAGGTTACATGCAATCCAGGACGTTTTGACCACCTTCATTGAGTGGCAAAATGAGGAAGGGGCTCTAGAGGGGCACGAAACCCCATGCCACTTGCTCTTTCATTCTGTACAATCGGAAACTGTAATAATAGATACCTTAACCACAATATTATTTAAAGTAATAGTAAATTAAATTATAAAAAATAATAATATATAATAAGTAAATAAATAAAATGTTCTATTGTATGACACATATTATTGTATAAATCACTGTAACCCGAAAATGAGTGCTGTACGAATTGACAAAGCATTTTTAGGGCACTTCATAGATCAGTTAAGGATAACGATGAAAAATCAATTCCTTTTTAAAAAACTGATTTAGCAACTTTTATTGCTAGGTGCGGGTTTGTTTCCTCTAAAATACCTGAGGCTCGCCACATCTGTCTCATTTATATTTATATTTGAAATTCAATAGTGCGATTGTGTTATGTCATCCCCGCCAAATATAACCATTGCGGAAATCGACTTGGGCGCATTTTATAAATGGCCTGATGACATAAAAATAATCTTAAATACACTACTACTGGAAGAATGCATTGTTAACGAAGAATTGCCGAAGAAATGGCGAAAGTTTTATTTCATAATCACATTTGAAATAATGCATAGAGTAGAGGCCACAGGAAAAATCAAAATATGAAAAAAAAAACAACTTAAACTAGACTACCGACAATCACAATATACATATTATAAATATAGATTATGTATACGCAATTCTTTACATTCACTGCACAGAGAACTAGAATCTTTGAATATAAACTAAAACTAATATGTATTAATAAATAATATTATTACTATTATTATTTTTTTTTTTTATTTAAATTTATTTATAGTTACATAATGAGAAGGAATACAATCACTAAACGTAGACGGATGGAATCAGCTGAGGGCGGACTTGTTGCAATTGAACGGTTTAAGAGCTGTTCGAGAACGTATATTGTTAAGAACAAGGAAGAAATAATAGACTACCATGTATTTTTTAGTTATGTTTCTGAAATGATAATTTCTAGGTTAACACAATCAAGCCAGCAGTCAACAATTAAATTAAATTTATGTAAATTTTGTACGTATGAACAACTATTAACGGATGAAGTACAAGATATGTCGTTTAAAACTTCAAACGTATTAGCATGTAAATCATCCAATTTTAATACTTTATTAAATAAAATGTTTAACAAACCATTATCTGAGGAAGCACAATTTATATCAAATAAATCAGGCTGGTCACTTAAATCTATAGATTGTCTACAATTACGAGTTAATAAAGTTAATCCTCTTAAAGGAGGAAGCACTTATTTAGATTTACCTAGTCATATAAAAAAAAAAAAATGTTCAGACTAATGTATATACTAATGGCCGTATGTTCCATTTACGGCATCCAAAAATATACTGATGAAAAGTTAATTACGTAAGCCGGTTTACATTTCGAAAATCAAGGTCCGTTGAAAATAATGACGACGCAGTGGAACATAGTAGCTTTATATGATATATCACATTTTTACGAAAGGAAAAATGTAATAAACGCATATTTGGGTGCAACTAATAAGTTGTGTATATTTTTAAAAGAACGGAATGTTACCCAAACTAATTGCGAAGTTATCTCGTCATTAACTTGATACGTCGCGTATCTCGCAGACGAGAAAAAAAATGTAATATACGAATCTATAGGTCATTCGCATATTAAGAAAAGGGGTTTTCCGTTTAAAGTAATAACCAAGGCAGCCCAGATTCTGTCTGAGTTATGTGATCAATTCTGCGTTTTGCATCACAAAGCTAATGTAAAAATAATGATAGATGCAAATAACTCAGAAATAAACGACATAGGCAAACAACTAAGGGTTATCAAACTTCAGGACGAACATGATAAGGGACCCGACGTTTTAATTGATTTGGACGATGCAATCCAACAGCTGACGAATATGACGAACAAACTTAACATGAAAAGCTATCTAGCGTATCATTTTTTTCAGACGAGTCTCGTCTTGCAATTGTATTTATCTGAGACCACTATGTTGTTCGACGTCATACAATCGGCTAAAGTAGGATTATTGCATCATAGTTAATGACCGGACCAGAATTACTTAAACAATTCATGGTCATTAAAATAGGGTTACCTAGTGGGACAGACTTACCCATGGAACTTAACGTAAATAATGTAGAAGAAATTATGCCCCTCTCAGACATTACAAATTATATTATCCACAAATTCTTAATCTTAGATTTCGAGTTCACCAACATTCACAAGACAAATTATGGACTGATATCAGGTGCCATTTCAAATAGTCTAGACCGCTTTAAAATAAGAAAACTAGAAGGAAGAACGTTATTACTACCGGAAAACCAAGAAGTAAGACCAATGAAGGACAAGGAATTAATCGGTGCGGCGAACAGCTTTGGCACGAATTTTGAGGTAAAAACAGGAGATGAGGACATCTGCTTAGATCACTTCAATCGAAGGTTTGATGGCACCAGTAAAGAGTCTGAATGTAACGTACATAAGGAACTATATACTGTTGTGACAACAAAATTAACATAATAGTATGCATGGGGCGGGAGTTCGGGACAAAACTATTACAAAGATTAGAACAGAATTTCCATTATTAAATTTACGTTGTATTTTATACCCATATAATGTTGAATATGACTGCATAAGATACTGATAATAACAAAATATCTCCAATCATTACTTTTGATCATCTAGGCACGGAGGAAATCGTACAGGTGAAACGACTGTGGTTTGCATTTGGGATGATGAAAACGACGTGTTTGATTTGTATGGAACACAGAAAACATGCATATTGTGCATGTTTAGCATAGCGTCGATCGTATAATTGTGTACAGCAGATACATTTGAAAACTGTGATGAAGTAAGAGAAAATAAAACTATTAGATGAAAATGTAGAAGACCAACGCATATTCTGAATGTATTCAATCAATACAAAAATTTAATTAATTCTAAATTATTTGAATGTGATAATTATGATATACAATCTGATTATTTGTTTGGATCAATAAAGAAAATTAAAATGAAATATATTTCATAAATATTGGATGACAATCACAAAGGATTAAGACAAGATACAACGTAGGATGAAGATGGTAAACCTTAGTACAGATTCATTGTAAAAATACATTATTTTTTGTTGATAATAAAACATTTAAAAAAAATAAAACGAAATTAATAATCAAATTATTTTATAAAAAATTATCAAAACAAAACTTTATTTTACGCTTGTGATGTTTTTATAAATGGTCATATTTAATTAAAACTCTTCAATACGATATTTTTTCATAAAACATAAAAAATAATGTATGATATAATATTTTTAAAAGAAATATAATTTTTTTTTAATTTTTTTTAATAATGTTTACTACAATATATTAACATTGTAGCATAAAAAAATAAATGTTTTTTTTTTCAATATTTTTCTGGTAGTTACTTATATTTATAGATAGGTATTTACATATTTACCACATACCCAATTAATAACAATAATAGCTTAAGTTACATAACACTCATTTGATTCCTAAATTATTTTGAAATACAGAATAAAGATAAAATTAATTATACACACTATATAACAACTACTTTTTTAAATATTCTTAACACAATGCATTACAACTTGTTCACTGTTAATATACCGTGTTTCCTATAACTCTGTTATATTTGGGCATATAATATACCAATTGTGCATAAAATACAAACATGCTTTTACCACATAGGTAAGCAATTTAGCTACCCTTTACAACCAAAAATGTATGTTTCAGATTTGGGTTGTAATTTAACTTATTTATTCAAATATACATTTATGAGCTTGCAGATTGTTACACCACGCCAGGGGCTCATACATATGCATTCATTGAGTAATACATCAAATCATAGCTAACTTGACCATATATATCATCAGTTGAATTTTCAACTTACAAATATTATACACAATAATGTTAACACGTATAAAACATTTTTTTTTTTTTAGTTTGAAACATTGTATATCAATGTTAATGCATATGTGGTAGATAACAAAAATAGCTATTATATAAGTATACACAATTAATAGTTTAGTTATAATGTATCTCATAATAAAATAAGGATTCAAATATTTTGTTTTATGAAAAATATTTTAATTGTAGCTTATGTAAAAACCAGATAAAATTTTTAATTTATAATTCATAACCAAATTATATCATTAATTCATTATTTTCAATTAAATATATATGTTACTATTATACTGTAAATTTACCTATGAACAAATAATCATCAGCAAGCATAAAATTATTTTTACTTGATATAATAATTGAAACTATTCTTAATATAGATATTTTCATGACAAAAAAATGAAAATTGTATTTGTAATAATGAATTTAAATTATCACACCAATTGTAGAAGTTTAAAGGTGACCAGTCATTACAACAACAGGTAACCTTTGTAGTATATTACAACAACAAAATAATGTATTATGGAACATATGACAATGTAGTAGGTTGACCATCCATATAACTACACTGTAAAAAATGTTGTTAAATTTCAACTAACGTCATTATGTAAATTTACCCATGATATGTAAGTACAATGCAACTACTTCTAAATAAGTGTAGACCTTATTTATCATCA